TCAGTTTCAGCAGCGGCTGAATCTGGACGCCAGTTCCGACTTACATACAAATTCAACTTAAGAACAAACCTGCAGTCCCTATCTTGTACATAACCCCGGGGACTGCCTGTTCTGACAAAGTGACTATTCTTTGAAATGTAGCATTCTCTTGAGACAGGAAAACAAAGGAAGCTGATTCAGGGTCAGAAGACAAATGTAATATACAGGAGGCCCCCAACTTGCGATGCGATCCGTTCCCAGGGAAGCGTTCCCTGCGCCATCGTAAATGCAGGCCAAGGATGTGAGTCGGGGGTTTCCAGCCCCTTCCGCACTTACAAAAATGGCTTTAAGTGCAGGAGGTTGGAACTTGGGCAGTCGCATATCAGGGACCTCCTGTAGATACCCAAAACAACAGAACAGGCTTCATACTACCCCTTCTACTACCTTTTCCAAGACAAAGTCAGAACAACAGAATCTCAAATAAAGTGAAAGGAGAACAAATTCTGAAGGGGTAAAAATTTCCCTTGAAACTCAAGAACAGAAGACACATGCACAGGCCCTTATATCAAACTAACCTCACATTCTGGGCAAAACCAATCCCCCTCTGGTTCCGCTGTCAGTTTCAGACACTTAGCATGATAAACCCGAGGACAGAGTTCACAGCAGAGGACTTGGCCTTCCCGATGACAAACCCAGCAATAGAAATCATTCCGTCCATCCTGTGGTACAACATCAACAGGGTCTGTGGTGAGTGGCTGCTTCATATAGTAAAACGGACCATGTCTTAGTTCTGACTGAAATGTAGGCAAGAAAGACAGGTTTGGTTTCAAAACAAATCTATATAACAATACTCATAATAAAAACAAAGCAGTTTACAGAACTCATTTAGCATTTATGTAAATATATTATTTCATTAAATGGAGAATGGATATTTACAAATAGGTTTACTCTCTATCATGCACACCAGTGTTCCCTCTAAGCTGTGCGGGGGCAGGGTGGGGGGAGGATAGGGGGTGATTAATCAGCCCTGGTCAATCAGAGGCTCAGAGCTCCATTCACGGAGCTGACTTACTGAGCAGGACTGATTAATCAATCATCTGTGAAGCTGTGCTGCCCTACAGCTTAGAGGGAATGCTGATGCACAACATTGGCTCTCACTAAATTCATGACAGAAAACAAACTGGAGAGATAGGGGAAGACAACATAATCCAGTAACAAGACTAGTAGATGCCTTCACATTCAAAAACAAGAAGTATACTGTGGAACTTTAGAGACCAACAAAAAGTATATTATAGTATCATAAGCTTTCAAAAGTAAGGATGTTCAATACTGACTAATTGAATAGTCGATGCACTTTGCATTGACTATTTGATTAGTTGATAGGGTGCCCCTGCCTTTGAAGTATAGCAAAAGTCCTAGGGCTGTTGCTAAGCTTCAAAGGTGAAAGCACTGCATGCAGCCCGGGGCCAGCTGGAGTGTCCCCAGGCTGCCTGCGGCATTTCAAAGCAGCAGCGATGCACAGAGCCTGGTGTCAGCAGGGGATTCCCCTGCTGATCCCAGGCTCCACATGGCACTGCAGCTTTGAAATGCCGCATGCAGTCCGTGGGCACCCAGGCTGCACACAGTGTTTCAAAGCAGCAGCGCTGCATGGAGCCCAGGGTCTGGCCTCAGGCTTCAAGCGGCACTGCAGCTTTGAAGTAACCCTCCGCCGTCTCTTTCACAGAAGCGACAGAGGAGGGGGTGGGGTGATTAGTCAACTATTCTGTTGACTACCCGATAAGCATTTGCTTATTAGATAGTCGACTAGTCCTTTACATCCCTAGGTAAAACCCACTTCTTCATATGAGCTGAAGTAGGGGGAGGGGGGGGAAAGGGGAAATCTAGAATTTATAACAGAAAAAGAAAGGAGAGAGGGAAAAGCAGTACCTATCAATTGTAGTGCAGGTGCTAAGGAAACTAATTAAATGGTCTGGAAGTGTCCCATACTTAGCTTTTGATGTAAACGAGGTGCTAAATGTATGGAAGGCTGGTTTTATAATGGGACATCCAGTTAATGTCTTTGTTCAAGCCCAGGAAAATTGTCTCAAATTTGCATATGAAGGCAAATTCCACAATCCTTCTCTGTAATTAGCTTGTGAAATTCCTGTGTAAAAGAATGACTACTTTTAAATCCATGACTGAGTGTCCAGACAAGTTAAAATGTTCCCCTGCAGGTTTGTGTGTGTTACCATTTCTGATATCTGACTTTTGTCCATTTATCCTTTGTCGTAGAAACTGTCTAGTTTGGCCAATGTACATGGCAGAAGGGCATTGCTGGTATTTGAAGGCATATATCACGAGAGGATGTGCAGTTGTATTGGCTCCTGATGTTGTGGCTTATGTGGTTACATCCTATGATGGTATCACTTGTATAGATGTGTGGACAGAGTTGGCAATGGGGTTTATTGCAGGGGTAGGTTCCTGGGTAAGTGCATCTGAGGTGTGACGGGTGACTGCTAGAAAGAAATTGCTTCAGGTTAAAGGGTTGTCTGTAGGTGAACATTGGCCTGTCTCAAATTCTGGATTCTCTTTCTCTCCCTCCCCACACTTCAACTCATCTGAAGAACTGGATTTTGCCCATGAAAGCTCCTGATACTATATACATGCATTTGGTTAGTCTCCAAGGTGCCACAGGACTACTAATTTTTAAAGTTACAGACTAACACAGCTACCCCTCTGAGACTTTATATTGAATACAGAGATGTGCCCGCTACAGGGTAAGGTCCCCCAATAGGGACCAGTGCAAGCTAAGACTTGCAGTATCCACAGCTTTGCCTACAGCGGGACTGTTTGCACAAAAAAAATCCCCTTAACTATAAATGAAAGAAATTCCATCTAGTCATACTTGTCTCTCTCTCATTAAATCACATGCAGCACTGCTGTGCACTACTAAACAGGTATTGTGTGTTTCCACAACAGAGATAGATGCAGTTGCTCCCCCTGCATGCTTGCTTTTAGAGTAATATGATATTGCAAGTTATGCATGTGTAATACCCATATACCACTAAACATTTCAGAAATCATATGGGATTAGAGATACTGTATAAAACCTTATATATATTAAGAATGTATTACAATTTCAACTACTGATAGCCAGACACTGATGTAGCTATGAGAATGAAAACCTCAAGTGTAGAAAGGAAAGCTATAATTTACACTGCTATACCATACTCAGCTTTTGAGCAAGGGAATACTCCATGGGTGCAAATTACAGTCTTTCTGGTGTAGACTTGTGTGTTTTTACCTATCCAGCTACACTAAGTACAGACCATGAGCAACTGAAATCACTACTAATTCCCAATACCTTATGACTTCACTTCAGGAATAAGCAGCAGATACATTTCCTAAGCAAAAATACTGTTTCGATACAAATGTCCTTAAAAATCCACACCGAAAGAAAAAATAAGCAAATGCTGTTTCTACATAGAAGAATTGTTGGTTTCCTAGAAATCCCAGGCAACTAAGTATTAGCACGATTGCGTGTGCATCTTTAAACAATCACCTCCCTTCCTTTGAACCAAGCTGAGCAGCTGACCAGTGAAATACATTCACGGGGCTAAAAAGAAAAGACCAAAGGACTCAAAGTGACAGTCATCTGCCTAAAAGACATCCTCTCACTTGATTTCTCATGAATTAGCAAAATATTTATGTAGCAAACTATTCTTATAAATTAAAATTCAACATTGAACAAAGCTGTAACTCTCCTCTCAAAAAACTTCTCTCTGAGTTGTACTAGCAGCTTTCCATGCTCTCTTTCCATGATAGTCAAGTCAGGGCTCGAGTAGCTACAGGTTGCATCTCTGTAAACCAGGACTCTCTCATTCGGCAACATCTGTGGTCCAGTAGGACCCTGGATGTTGCTGAAAGAGAAAGCCCCAGTGCAGGAGGGCCAGCAGCTGAGAACTCTGTGAAAGGCGAGGCTGGAGATAGCAGGGCCAGGGCCTTAGCAGCCAGGTGACAGTAGCAGGACCGTAGTAGTGGGGCAGGGACAGCCCGGCAACCCATTTGGGGCTGGAGCAGCCCATGCGTGCCAGCCTGGTAGTGGGGTTGTGCCACAGCAGCCCGAGCGGGGCTGCGTGCCGGCCTGGCAGTGGGAACAGAGCCATTGCAGTCTGGCTGTCAGTAAGGCCGAGCTGCGGCAGCCCAGCAGGGTAAGCCCATCCGGGGCTGCAGCAGCGGATTTGAGGACACAGTACCCCAGCTGAGGCCATGACAGGTCAGCAGTCCAATTGGGGCTGTGTGCCGGCTGGCAGTGGAGCCAGTGCCAAAGCAGCATGGGCAGTGTTGTGTGCTGCTGTGCCAACAATGGGACTGGAGCAGCAGATATGGTAGTGAGGCTGAGGGGCGGGGCCAGCCATGTTACCCAGCCAGCAACGGGGCCAACGGAGTTGGCGACAGAGAGGGGTGGCAGGCTGAGGGATCTAGTGGCAGGGGACCTTTCCTGGTTCGGCAAATCCCCTCATCTGGGTCCGCTCAGGTCCCAAGGGTGCCAGACCAGTGAGGCCCAACCTGTAGTCACTTGGTTTTAAAAAGGGCTTACTGCTTGTAGTCTGTATTTATATTAAATTAACATGAGCGGACTAACAAAAAAGAAAAAACTAAATAAAACTACAGTAAAAGTTACAAATTGATTTGGAGAAATCAATATAATAGCTTACCCAGTTGTGTGAAAAAGAATTATTGATATTTAGGAAAATGAGCTGCAGCCAAGAAGGCTTATGTGATAACTGCCTAGTTAAGAACTCTAATTTTCCAACTTTTTTATACATGTTCTCCAATTCCATAACTCTTTGGTATAGATTCATAGATTTCAAGGCCAGGAGAAGACCACTGGGATCATCTAGTCTGACATCCTGCATAACACAGGCCATAAAACTTTCCCAACATAATTCCTGGTGCATACTAGTACATGTTGGCATTATGCAGAAAAGGAAATTCAATTCAACATACTGTCAGTAGAGATGTTAAATTAATCAGCTAAATTGAGTAGTTGATGGAATTTCCACTGACTACTCAATTAGTCGATAAGGGGGGCACTTGCTATCTCCACTGTGCCTCTCCCTTTGAAATGTATAGGTGCCACTCCTGGCTTGCAGGGTTCCAGCTGCCTCTCTCCCTTTGAAATGTACAAGAGCCATCTGCAGCTCCTATACATTTCAAAGGGAGAGAGGCAGCGGGGACCCGCGCCACTGGGAACTGAAGCAGTCCCCACTAGCATGGGTTCCCCTCTTTACTGCTTCCTTTGAAATGTACAATAAGGATGTTAAGGACTAGTCGACTATCCTATAAGCAAATGCTTATCAGATAGTCAACTACTTGATTGTCGCTTACATCCCTAACTCTCAGCCTTCTTTGTACACTATAAAGCAGTAAAACGGATATAAAACAAATTTCTATACCAGTCGTCATATTGCTTTTAAGGATTAAACAGGACAGGACAGGAGGCCAGTTTATATGATAAACAGACCACTTTCAGATTGGTTCAAAAATAAGTCCAACCAATCACTATCTTATCAAAAACAAGAAAGCAATCAAGAATGCCTCTAATTTTCAGGATGGCTTTTGGACTCAACTGCTTTCGAAAAAAATCTCATTAATTGCTCACAGTTAAAAGCAAAGAGTATTTGGCATAAGAAAGTAAACATTAAAAAATGAAGCATCTTGAAATTAACAATGGAACTCAGGGCTGTCCAACAACTAAAAAAAAAAAAAAAAAAAAAATTGATCATGATCAATCACACGGTTTTAAAAATAT